CAGCAAGTCAGGGCGACCCAGCCACCAAGCAGGTTCGCATGGGAGGGACGTGGATGGCCCGCGGCGGGAAGGCAGAGGCCGTGCTTCCTGGCATGGGCAGGGGCACCTGGGGACAGAGCGAAGACTCCTGGAGAGAGCTGCGGGGTGGGGTGGACACACACCCTTTGTCAGAGGAGGGGACTCGTGGAGGTTGCCAGCAGGGACATAGGTTTCAAACTCCAAACCTCAGCCGCTTTGCCTCCCCTTGGGGGAACATGTCACCTCGAGGTGGTTGACATTTCCACAAAAACTAAACTGCCATTGCCGTTTCCATCCCTAGGCCTCCCGGGCTGCCTGGCTTTCCCCCCTACTCCCAAGGACTTTTCCCTGGAGACACGTGGCAACATCTTGTCTCAATAGGGTGCACGTGGCTCCTGCAGCCACTGAGGTGCCTCCGTGTTCCTGCATGACTTGTGGCCTTTAAAGTCTCGGGACACACAGTATGTGTGCAGTTGTCAGGGACAAGGGTGCCCTCAGTGGAGTGCCACCACACCCAACAGGACAGGAAGGCTGGGCTGGCTGCGTCCCCTGCTGCCACCTGTCCTTTGCAGGAGGCCCAGCCAGCCGTGGTGACCCCAGCAGGCTGAGGCCAAGCCTAGGTCCCAGTGTGACTCTTGTCCCCATGCCGGGCTGTCCTTCACATGTTGCTCTCTCCTTCCAGGTTTCTCCTGCAGGGAGTGAGTCAGGCCTCTGCTGGCCCGACCCCAGCCCACGGGCCAGGGTAGACCTTGTCATGGTGGCTCAGGTCCAGCCGAGGTAGGCATGGGGGTGTGCACGACCCAGGGTCCGGCTGGGCCAGGGAGGGCCACAGGCAGGGCCCTGACCGCCCTTGCTGGGTCTCCCACCCTCCCTCCAAAAGGGAGCCCCATCCTTCAAACTGCTTGTGTCACCTGCTCCCCCAGAGCGGCGAACGGTGGCCAGGAGTCTGCATCTGATCCAGCCCCTCTCCCTGGGACCCCAGGGTCCTGGGCCCCTGCACAGGCCTCCGGGTCTGTGGGTTGTTCTGACCCACGTGCACGCGGGTCCCCGGGAGAGGGGCACGAGCTCTCCGTGTCCCTTATGGTGGGGAGAACCGGGGCAGGCTGGGGACTGTGAGCCGAGACTTGGGGCTGTTCCCAGCCCTGGCACTGGGCAGGCCTCCAGTGACTCCACCTGGGGGCACCGCATGCTGCAGACCATAGTGATGTCCCTCCAGCCAGCAGAGTGCTGGTCCCCAGCCCCACCGCCCTGTCTGCGGCCATCCTCTCCTGTTACCCTGCACTCGAACCTGCCTCAGGGCAGAGCTGTCGATTATTTATGGCCGAGTTTCTGGTTCTCTCTGGTGAGCGTGGAGGGAGGGTCACGGTGCAGCCCTGGGCCTTGCCTATCTGCCGCCTTTTCCTTTTCTATCCTCCTCCTTCCATCTCTCTCCTCTGCTCCCCCAACCCCACCCCCGCCTGACCTCCTCCTCTGCCTCCTCTTCTCCCTCTCCCTCCTGCAGCAGGGTGGGGTGGCAGGTTCCCGCCTCTTGCCCTGTAGACTCTGTGCCTCTCGGGCCACTTGTTGACAGCACCCACACGACACCTGGGGTGGACCGGAGGTTGTTTGGTCACAGTGGCCCCAGTGGGAGAGCAGGAGGAGGGAGATTTCGTGTCTGATTCTCCCAGCAGCCTCACCCGCTCAGGGATGTCCAGAAGCCCCCAGAGAGGGCCCTGGGGTCTGGTTGGTGGCCCAAGCCTGACGAGACCTGAGAAAGGCTAAGACCCAGGGAAGCAGGGCACCTTGGTGTGACTGGGGCAGGTGTGACCAGGCCTGGGGGTGGAGGCTTGAGGCCTGAGAGCAGTTGACCTGAGGCCAACAGGGCCACCCCAGCCACCCAGGGAGGCCCCCACTTCTCTGCCTGGTCCTCTGGTCCTGCCACATCTACAGGCCAAAGCCTCATATCTGGTGGGTACTGTGGCGCGTCCATCCCCTGCAGACATGGGTGTCCCCCAGGGCTGGCCCTTCCAGAACTGCCCTGAGCCCTGGAGAGGGGACAGAGCAAGAGAGGCAGACGGCAGAGGGCTGGGGACAAAAAGGCTGCGGGAAGGGGTCACGGTCAGCTGTAGCGACAACTCAGCGAGACTGCCCGGGAGTCCCAGGAGTGCTCAGGCAGTGGCCAGGAGTCCCCGTGGCTGGAGCAGAGACCCGGGAGGAAACAGGGTCTAGGAGGTGGGGGTCATGCGGGCAGCGGGAGGGACATCTCCACAGCCCCCTTGAGCTGCAGGTGGATGACCTGTAGGACCAGCTCGGGGGCCAGGAGAGGCAGTGGCAGCTGCCCAGGCTCCATCCGAGGGGATGGTGACAGGGGAGGAGCGGCTGGGGCAGCCCGCTTCTGGTGATGGAGCTGGCCATGGCCACCAGGCTCTGCCTGCGAGCAGACAGACAGACAGGGTGAGGACAGTGGGTCCAGCACGCCCCTCCAGGCCGTTCCTCTCTCCACCTTGCTGACAGGCCCGGCGTGGGAGTCCAGGCCCCAGAGGCGCCCAGGATGGAGGATGCCACAGGAACCGTGCAGGGCCTGGTGGTAGAGCTCTCCAACCTCAAGTAAGGCTCGGAGCTGGGTGGGAGGACCCGGGAGCAGGGAGGAACTGAGGCAGGAGCCTCCGGCGGGCAGCAAGGCTAGGGGACACTTCGCCTGGCCGGCCCTCTCCATCTGGGCCCCGGAACCCCGACCTCAGGAGGAGGGGCCAACAGTCCCTCTGCTGCTTAGGCTGGTCCCAGTGTCAGCGTAGTGCACGTGCACCACGAGGGGCCATCTGCATGTGTGCCTCTGGGCAGGGACCCCATCCCGTGGTGACCAGTAGTGCCCCAGCTTACCCTGTTTCTGCTGCAGCCGACTGATCATGAGCGCCCACCGAGACCTGGAAGCCTTCAGGCGCCTCCACTCCCGGAAGGCGAAGCCACCAGGGAAGGCCCCCTCTCTCTACCCACCCAAGGAGAGCCTCTCCCGGGGGGAGCAAGCCTGGAGGGACCTGTAGGCCACTGCCTGAGCGCCCAGAGGCTCCCTGTGCACCCTGGTCACCTGCTGGAGAGCTGCAAGCAGTCTGCTGTGGGCCACCTGCAGGCCCCCCCCCCCCCGCCACCTGATGTTGTTTGCTTGTGAGATTGTCCAAGGGTTCCGTCCAAGGGTTCCTGAGGCACCCCAGCAGCTCCCTGCAGCCCGAGCCAGGAAGCACCACTGTGCGGCCACAGGGAGGGCAGCTGTGCCTTCCTGGAAGCCGGAAGCCTGACAGAAGTGGCCCTCCGAACAGGGCCCAGACCCCGGGCCTCGATGTTTATCTGGGTTTGCAAATTCAAGCTCCTTCCCCAAGGTTGCTGTAGTTCAGAATTTGCTTCCTTCTGGAGGAGAGAAGGGCTCCCTTTGTTGTTTGTATCTTAGTCTTTCCCCCAATTTCCATTTTATTTCTTCTGGGAAGACCAGTAATAAACGATCCTTTCATGCACCTCCTGACCTGCGGCTGGGGGAGGCATTTCCGGTCCCTTGACAGCCGCCCTCCAGCCTCTAGCACTGCTGCCCCTCACCCCCTCCCCTGCCTCCCAGTGAAGGGGGGGGGGCGCTGCTGGTGGGACACAGGTCAGGGGATCCCCAAGGGCTTCCACGGGTCAGAGTCCGAGTCTCTGGGAGAATTGGTTGTGTGTGCATTCAGTGTCACCTGCGCAAACCTCCCCCAGGTGGCAGATCACCCCACTGGGGTGAGGCTGCCTACCCGGCCTGGGACAATGTGCTTCCAGAGCCAGCCAGGAAGCTGATGCAAACTCAGTTGCAGGCCGCCCTCAAGAGGCCATCATCCCGTTTACAGAAAGCCATGTGGGTGGCTGGCTGGCTCCCTCAGGCACGTTGAGCACCTGACTCCAGTCCCCTCTCCCCGTGGTTCCTTGGCCAGGGAGGCCTCCCTCCCCACCACCCCCCCCACGGTGGCCATGGAGGCCCACTGCAGGAGGGCGCTCTGCACCTGCCAGATGTGCAGCGTCACTCCTGAGCCCCCCCAGGGCCCCCCTGCCCTGCCAGGCCCTGGGTCTCGGGCCTCAGCGGCTCAGGTTGGGAGGCCAACAGTCTACTTGTAGCCGCCGGGTGTCATCTCCCCAAATCCCTCACAGGCCCTAGGGTCACTAAGGAGCCCTCCTCTGCTCCTCCTCCTTCCCACCACCTCCTCTCCCCTGCAAGTTGGCACCCAGCCCCAGTGCACCCAGGCCGCTTCCTGGGTGGCTTTAGGTCCCTGTTCAAGTTCCAAAGCCCAGGGCAGGAGGCCCTCCAAGTCCAATTCCTGCTCCCACCCCAACTCTGGAGACTGAGCCGAGGCTGGAGCCCCGACCGGGACAGTCAGCTGGACCCACTGCTGCCACTGCCCGGCAGGACCCGCGCAGCTAGAGGAGGCAATGGGTGACCCCCAAAGAGTGGCCCCCAGGAGACTAGCTGATCTCCCTCCCACCCTCCGGGCCAAGACCCCCACTGGCCTGATCCCTTCCCAGATACCGCCCCTGCCAGCTCCGTGTCCCTAGGCACTGAGCTGTCCAGTATGGTGGCACCATGGCTCCTCACGAGGGCACCAATGTCAACATTCCCTGAGGGGCTCCTTAGTGAAGGCAAGGGGGGAGGCCTGGCCTAATTGTCTCAGTTCCCTCTTAAATCTAGCCTCCATCTCTACTAGAAGGGGGAGCCCCCGCTTCACATGTCAACATGGAGGGGTAGCCAGGGAGTGTGACCAAACCAAAAGGACCTGCGCTGGTAAGGAGCAGGTGAACGGGACCACAACTGCCCCTGCCGCCCACCCACCCACTTCTCAGCCTGAAGCAGCTCACCCCAGCACCCCAGGGCCACCCAAAGTCCAAAGAGCAGTTGGGTGGTGGGGAGCCACAGGGACACTTGGAGCTGATAAGGCAGCCTGGAGAGGACGGGGTGCCGCCAGCCCTCTGGGTCCAGGATCACCTTAGCAAGAAAGTTCCCGCGACTCCGGGCGGCTGATCTCCGTCCGCTTGCAAACATTTATTGAGCGCCGACTGCCCAGCCCCGGGACAGTGCAAAAGAGAGCCGCTGGTCCCCGCGGGAGGAGGGAGCTCAGGGGACCAGCCATTTTAACAGTTCCCTCCGCTGCCCCCCAAGTCCTCAAGCCTAGGTTTGGGGAGGGGGCCGGGGGGTCCTCAGAGGGTCTTCCCTGGAGTCCAGCTGCCACGGAGCCTCCGTCCCCATCCCCGGGAGAAGGCGGCACCCCTGTCCTCCCCGCGCCAGCCGCCTAGGCAGAAGTGGAGGGACAGCCCGCAGAAGGCGAAGATCCTGGAGACTTCCCGGCACCTTTGGGACCTGGAGGTTAAGAGCGGAAGGGGAGGGGGAGAAGGTCAAGGGCGAGGATGATTCAGTCCTCCCGAGGTAACCCCGGCGAGCTGCTGGGCTCCGGCGCCACCTAGGGGCTGCTCCTGAGACAGCAGCCCCGTGACATTCCTGGAACAGGGCCGCCCCCGTCCCAGAGCCCGACCCAAAGCTCGCGAGTTCCAGCTCCGGCGATCGTACTGCCTGCCACCTCGTGGCCGCCGGGCTCCGGGGAACTTGGGACAGTTTTTCGGACAGTATGATGGTCAGGGCTCACCCTCCACACCCAGGGACGGGGGCGGGTTTCCTTTACCCCTCAAATATAAGGAGAAAAAGGAAGAACCCAAGACTGTCATTTCTAGGCACCCTCATAGTGCAGTCTCTGCCAGTGGGATCTCACCCAACCCCAGGAGGAGGGCTGGGGATGTGGCTCAGGGGTGGGGCGCAGGCCGGCGTGGGCACGTGGGAGGCCTGGGGTTCCATCCCCAGCAGCAGAAACGGAACAAACAAAACCAACCAACAGCCGGGCGCGCGCCTGTAATCCCAGCAGCTCGGGAGGTTGAGGCAGGAGGATCCTCGGCAATTTAGCGAGGTCCTAAGCAACTCAGCAAAACCCTGTCTCTAAATAAAATACGAAAAAGGGCTGGGGATGTGACTCAGTGGTTAAGCACCCCCAGGTTCAATCGTTGGTACAAAAAAAAAAAAAAAAACTCAACTAACAAAATATCCCAGGGCATAGGATCCGCTCCTGGAGGCAATCTTTCACACCCTGCAGAGCTGGAGGGAGGGGAAGGGTCATGGAGTTCCAGCCTCCACCCTAGAGGAGCTCACGTCCATGGGGCCACGGGGGAGGTGGTACCCAAAGCCATTGCACCTGCCCTCCTTTGCAAGCCCGCTTCCCTGAACGCATTTCAAGCTGCTAGAAGGGAGTTCTCTTTAAACCCCAGGAACTGAGACATTTTGTCATTGCAGCCTGCACAACTCGAGAAAGCCTTGGTCTGGGGCAGTAGTTAGAAATACAGGGGTTTGGGCCCCACCCAGACCTAAGGGATGGGGTCTGCGTTTGATGAACAGAGATGGGGAGACCCCACACCCCATGTGGCAAGCTTCAGCTCCAGGAGCTGCACCCTGCAAATCCAAAACAAGGCCCCACCTGTTGCCTCCCACCCTCCCCCACCAAGGGCTGTGGGGCACCAACCTGGGCAAGAGTCTAACACACGCCACTCAGACCCGCCCTCCCCCTTCTGTGGCTCCCCAGTGCCCAAGCCCAAACCTGACTCCCAAAGACCCCTGGGCCCCTCTGCGTGCTCTGCCAGCTCTCCACCAATGCAGCCACACCTCAGACACCCTGAACTTCACCAAATCCCTGACCGAGCCCCAAGGCCATCTCCCAGCCTTCCAACAAACTGAAACAGGCTGCCCAAGCACTGCCCTCAGGAAGCCCTCCAGACCCTCCCAGCTGGGTCGCACCAGAGTCAGCATGCGGCTCTAACCACCACTCTACCACCCACCTTGTCCACTGCTGGCCCCTGGCACCAAACAGGCCAGCACACCATTTGGCCACAGAATAAACGAATGAGGAAGTTCCGGGGCCATGCAACTTCTAAACCACGAATTCCACCAAGTGGAATTAGGGCCCCTGCTGTACCTGCTGGCAGATACCACCACTGGGTCCCACTACCTCCCTGCCAGACCACCCCACGCCTGGGAAAAGGATGTTATTACCCAGGTGGGCCCAGAGAGGGGAGTGACTTGCCCAAGGTCACACAGCAAACCTCAGCTCCCACTTCTCCACTCTGGCAACATTGCTAGGCTGCTCCTCAGCTCTACAGCTGGTGCCCCCTCCACCGGTGGTGGGTGCTGTGGTTAATCCCCCACTGGGCTCAACTATGAGCCTACGATGGGTTCCCCCCCATCCCCTCCACATCATGCTCCCAGCCACCTGCTGCTGCTGCTGCTGCTGTGCCCGCTGCTCCTCCTCGGCGGTGGCCAGCATCCTGGGTTCTCGCCTTCTCAGGCCGGGCCAGCCTCTTGCCCGCTGAGTTTCGGGTGGTGTAACTGTAGACAGAGGTGTAGCCCTGGCCGGTGAGTGGACAGAAGCGTCGGGTGTGGGCGCGCTCCCGCGTGGCACCACACTGGGGACACACGTAGTCACGCAGTATGGGGCACAGCACCCTGCCTGCCTCGTCCTTCAGCACGTGAGACTGGTAGATGGCCCGGGACTCGCCGTTGTGTTTGCAGAAGGAGCACAGGCGTTCAGGAGCTGGTGAGGATTCTGGTGAGCTAGGTTTCTGGCTCTCTGGTCCTGGTGTTGGCTCTGGCTGGGGGTCCAGCCTGGCCTTGGGCTCCTCTTCCCCACGCAGAGCCCCAACCAGACGTGCCAAACCCAGGTAATCCGTCCACAGGTCGAAGGTGCCCATAGCTGGGCAATGTGTACCAGGCAAAGAAAAAACCCCAAAACCCCTGCCTGGCCCCAAGCTGTCTCAGCCGCCCCTTCCTCGCTGCCCCTCCCTCCTCTCTGGTGCCTAGGAGTCTGAGCAGGGTTCTGTCCTTTTACCTCCAAGGGAGTGTGAAGGGGAGGAGCAGACTGGGGGAGGTTCCCTATGGTCAACACCCCCTTCATGTACCTGCCAAGGGGATGGGGGGACTGGACACAGGTTGCAGGGGGCATTGGATCCAGGGCTGCCACCCCCACACTCCCTAGGGGGCCGCCCCTGGTGTGGGTGATGAAGGTGGGCTGAGAACTGGTCCCGAAGACCGGAGCCTGTGCAACAGTAACTTAGTAATTTTCTTTCTTCCTTCCCCGGGGCTGGGGAATGGGCCAGGTGCCCCCAGCTTGAGGGTGTAGCCACAGTGTGCTCTCTGGAAGGAGGCTGGCCCCCGACTCATGGAATGAAGCTAGGGCCTGACCCCCAAGCTCCGGCCTCCCTCGGGGGTTTTCACACCCTTTGTGTCTGCAGCACCCCCCCCCCAGAATGGCGTTGCCCAGAGGGGTTATTCATGAAGGCTCCAAAGCCTCTTCCTCCCTCCCTGCCTGCAGCAGAGACAGAGCACTCTGGGGTGGGGAGGGCAGGGGCCAGGGTGGGCTAATGCTGGGACCCCCCCACACTTGCCTGCTTCAGATCGCCCCTCCCCATCAAATGAGAGGCCAGCCTCGTCTCAGCGGGTGGGGTGTGCTCAGGAGTTACCAGCTGGCAGACTCCCAGGAGCCAGGCGCCACAAAGTAGGGGTCTAAGGAAGGACAGTGGGCTCGGAGGGTACAGACCAGAGCCCGGAACTCAGCCACTGGGAGGTGTGCGCGCCGCCCACCAACAGAACCCACCTGCCCCTTTCAGAAATGGGCTTCAGTGGCCTGGCCTCAGCCTCCGCTGCCCCAGGGCCCAAGCTCCCAGGACCTATTCCCCAAGTCTGGGTCCCTCAAGATCAGACCCTCCTCCCTGAGGGCTGGGGTCTGGGCAGTCAGCAGGCTGAAGGATTTTGGAGGCAGTGCGCCCTGTCCCCTTCCCGTCCCCCTTAGGCTGTGTATGGCCCAGCCACAGTGACATTCATCCCCCGGTGGGTCTGGTCTCGGTCCTCACAACCCACCGACAACGATGAATGTTGATTGTGACCTTCGCTGTGGCCTAAGTCTGTGTCCTCAGACTGGATGGGGGCTCCCCCGGATCTGATCTGGAAGGTGGGGGTCATGACAGGAGGACGGCAGTTCCAGGCCTCGGGGTCCACTCAACGGTCGATGGTTTGCCTGAGCTGCCCAAACTCACCGACAGGTTGAATGTTCCCCCAAACCCTTGGCAAGTTCTCAGGGACCTGGAGTGGGGTTGGGGGCAGGAGGTCAGGTAGGGTGATGGGGGGAGGGGAAGGAAGTGGGGGTCCCCTTGACTCTTCATTAAGTCAGCAAACAGTTATTAGACGCTCTTGCCTCTGGGACAAGTGGGGACATATTTCAATAATAACAGTGAGTGCGTGGGTAGCCTTTGTCACGCAATCAATCCAGTGGTGAGGGGCTGTGCTCACTTCTGCACTTCATGGGGGGGGGTAGGGATGAGCCAAACAGCCCTGAGAGGCAGAGGTGACCCCCGTTTGTCAGTTGGGGGGACTGAGGCCCAAGGGCACTAAGAAACTTAAAGAGGTAGTCGGGATTCCAAGTGGCCCCGGGAAGTCTGGCAGCTGGGCTGTTCTGGTCCCTGAGGACAGGGATGCGGAGAAGACATAAACAAGCCTTTTTAATACAATGCCTTCTGTGAATCCCTGTGCAATGGGGGTAAACAAGACTTTTTAATACAATGTAGTCCTTTCCGAGCTTCACCTGCTGGGCACCACTGTTTATGTTGCAGCGCCCCCACCTCCCAAGCCACAGCGCTCCCAGGAGGTGGGATGCTAGCGAGTCCCCGGGACAAGGCAGAAGCCTGAGGACCAGCGAGGGCACCCCCCAGCTCCGCCTGCACAGCCTCAGAGCATCCCAAACTAGATCCTTCTGGAATCAGGGCCCAGGGGGGTCCCTGTGCTGTGGGGTGGCCAGTAACCTTCCAAAGAAGATGACTCCAAAACAGGCTGCTGTGCCCCCTCCCTGCTTCCTCATGCTAAAAGGACTCCTTATCCCTCCCTCCAGGGGCCCAGGCCACCAGGGCACCTCTCCAGTCATGCAGTGACCAGGGAGAGAGGTGGCTGCCACCCCCCACCCCCCACACTTTTTTGGGACTCCTGCAGACAACCTGAGGAGGAGCATTCAGATTTCCTGTCGCTGCTGCCTTACTGAGGGGACTAAGAGTTCCAGAGGATCCTTCTGGAGTAATCCCAAGGCAGAGTAGGAACCCCAAGTGTGTGTGTTTGGCTGAACCCCACAAAGAGCCTTGGGGAGGGGGCAGAAGCAGCCCTGCCCAGCCTTTCCAGGACCAGCTGAGAGAACCCTACCCCAAACCCGACGCCAAGACCCCTCCCCAGGACCCACACAAGCCCACCCTCTGTGCCGAGCTGTGGCCCACGCCTGTAATCCCAGCGACTAGGGAGGCTGAGGCAGGAGGATCGCAAGTTCAAAGCCACTTTCAGTAATTTAGTGAGGCCCCATCTCTAAATACAGAAAAAGGGCTGGGATGTGCCCCACCATTCAATCTCCGGTACAAAGAAAAAGGAAAACGCCCGCCCACTCATTCCCCTGGGGACTCCTCTCAAGTCCTCCGGTGTGGATTCCCTGGAGCCCCCAACTCAATGCCCACGAAGCCCGCGAGTCCAGATCCCCTAAGGACCGCCCCCAGGGCCCGCCCCCCGTCTGGCACCTAAGTGCCGCTCCGGGAACTCCCAAGGCCACCAAGTTCCGCCTCCTTAGAGCCCTCCTCAAAAGGCCGCTTTGCCCTAGGAGTCCCCAAAGCTACTCGCAGGGAGCCCAGTCTCCTCTAAGGTCCCTCGCACTGGGTGCCCCCAAACAGGCCTATGTAGGACCCCCCTTGGAGTCCTCGCCCTCATAAAGCACCCCACACTCGGAGCCCCCGCCCAGCCCCGGACGGGTGTCTGGGTCCCACCCCGCGGCCCAGGCGCCCGCAGGCCCCATTCCAGCGCCGGGCGGGGGTCTGGGGCGAGTGAGTGGCTGCTCTCAGAGGAGACGGAGGGACAGAGGGGACGCTGGCCTCCCCTGAGGATCGCGGATCTGGGAGTGCCTAGAACGGCCGGAGGGTGAGTGGGAAGCACAGGGCTACAGTCTGGTGGCAGTGCCGCCCATCAGTCACCCCGTTCTTAGGAGACGTGCTGTCCCTGGGGAAGACGAGGCTGAGAGCGCAGAACAACTCTAGGGGTCCCTCAAACTTCGATCTCGACCTTGAGCTGTCATGGGAGGTGCCCCCGGCAAGAGAGGTACTTGGCCACGCGGTGGGGTGGCTCCTGAAGACTCTCCTTTTCCTTCTTGGAGACCTAATTGCTTCCTTAGAAGGCTTCGACCTTGGCCTGTCAAGTGGGGAGGTCCCCGCAAGGGTCTCTTCAAGCCGGGGCAAGGATGTGGGGGCCCCTGTCTGGGCAGTCAGGAAGGCGGGTGGGCGGGGCCTGGGCGGGGGAGGCCGGGGGAGGGGAGCCGTGGACTGTGCCTCTTTGTCTGCCTGAGGTGGCTGCGCTGCCCGCGCCTCTCTGCCTGGGGTCGCCCGTCTCTTTGTCAGCTGGGGTCTCCTGTCTGGGTCTGGCTGTACCCTTTCTGTGCCTGTGTGCAGTTAGGCCTCCTGCCCTGCCTGTCCGCCTGCCAAGGCTGTCTGGTCAGCCTGCGTGCTGCTGGCCCTGACCACCCTCTCCCCTGTCCCCTCTGTCCCAGGCGGCTGTCTGCCTGTAGGCTCCACATCTGGGCTGTGTGGTGTGGAGCCGCCCTGGATTGTGAGCAGCCCCCTCCCCTCCTCTGGAGCTCCCTGTCCCTATCTGGCCCTCTGGTGGGGCTGACTTTCCCTCCCACATGTTCCCAGGCCTTCTGGGAGGCTGCAGTCAGTCCCCGTCTGCCTTTGAAGTCCCTCAGGGTGGGAGGTGGGAACCAGGCCCTGTCTGGGCAGGGGGCTGAGAGTGGGAGGCGTTGTCCTCCACTGGCCAGACTGACACTGGGCCCTATCCCCATCCCCACTGTGAACTCGGGCAGGCAGAACAGCTGGCGGGGGCCTGGGGGTCAGGGTCGGAGGCGAGCCACCCCGGCACAGCCAGATGGGCCAGCCACAGGCGTCGCAGCTCTGCCATCAAGTTACAGGAGGAGGAGGGTCGAAGATCAGGGCTTTGGAGCTCCCAGAGGTGTCTGGTGGCCTGTGTGTGTGTGTGTGTGTGTGTCTTCGCATGTGCTCCTGGTGTGTCCCCGTGTGCCTGTGTCACGCTGTATGTATGTGCAGCAGCCTGGGGGGGAGTGGTCAGGACTTGGAAGACAAAGAGCCCATTATAGGAAATTCAGTAAGAGCCAGAGCCCCATGGGGTCTCCATGAGGTCACCTCCGTGGCCCAGGCCCACTAGACTGGCCCGCAGGGTTCCTCATTGAGGTGACACCTGCTTGGCCTCTCGGTTCCCACCAAGTCCTCCCTTGCTGTCTCCTGGGTTTCCTTTGCAGCTGCAGGGTCTTCAGACAGGGGCTCATCTGTTCTCAGGCCTAAGGGTGGCAGGTGGGTGGGAGCTGGCACTTTTTCCCAGGCCTGCTGGGTTGGAGGCCAAGGCTAGAGGAGGAGAGGATCCCACTCCCCACCTGGGGTGAGGGGTGACAGAGGAGCTGGGCGAATGAGAAATTCAGACATTTTGTTGGTGGTGCAGGGTCAGCCGGGGCTCTGTCTGCAGGAACAGGAGGGCATGTGTCTCTGCACCTGTTAACGGGGCTTTCCAGCCTGAGCTACTCTCCTGGGCTATTTTGGGGGTTCCATGGGTGTCTTGAGTCCAGGTGGGCGTGTCCTCTTGTGGGTGGTTGTCTCCCTGCCAGTTGTGTGTGTGTGTAC